GGTGGAGGCTCAGGGGGTGTTAGAGACGTTGGTGGAGGGTCTGGTTGAGGATGTGGAACTGGAGGAGGCTCAGGGGGTGTTAAAGTCATTGGTGGAGGGTCTGGTTGAGGATGTGGAACTGGAGGAGGCTCAGGGGGTGTTAAAGTCATTGGTGGAGGGTTTGGTGGAGGATGTGGAACTGGTGGAGGCTCAGGGGGTGTTAAAGTCATTGGTGGAGGGTCTGGTGGAGGATGTGGAACTGGAGGAGGCTCAGGGGGTGTTAAAGTCATTGGTGGAGGGTCTGGTGGAGGATGTGGAACTGGAGGAGGCTCAGGAGGTATTAAAGTCATTGGTGGAGGGTCTGGTGGAGGATGTGGAACTGGAGGAGGATCAGGTGGGAAAACCATTGTTACTGGAGGAAGCAGTGGAGGGTCGGTTTGTTGCAGCGATGGGGGAAGCTCAAGTACAGTTGCAGTTATAGGGGCTGGTGGAAGTGGAGGTGGAAGCTCAGGTGGAAAAACCATCGTTGTATCAGGAGGAAGTGGTGGATCTGACTGTTGTGGCGGAGGGGGATCTGTTGTCATTGCTGGTGGTTCTTCTGGTGTCTCCTCCCAGACAAAATGTCCTATTGTTGTTCCACCCTGCATCGGGCAAACAAAACAGGTTTGCTCACTGCCCCCAAGCATAAAATAAAAGATATTCTTTTGATAGGAAGGAAACTTTGCGAGCTCACCTCTTGTTCCTACAATGTCTTGCTCAGCCAATGCATTTGCTATGTGCTATATTTCATGTTCTTCATCAGCATTTCATTTCTGCCTATCTGTGTCAGAGCATTTTAAAACTTGAGGGTTTGAGCGGCCCTGTGGTGGATGGGAGTTAATTGCAACACTCACTGAATACCTTGCTTGCATCTCCATTTTTAAGCATCGGAGAAAATAAAGCTTCTCATAGAATGAGCATGTTGTTGGTGTCTTCTTATCTCATGCCATCAATGCTGACAACCATCTGATATGTCTACCTTTTTCCGACACATTTGCAAACATTTGTTCTGGCTGCTCTGATTCCAAGGCTCTGCCTTCAAATGTGTATCACTGAGTAATGCATCTTTCAGCAACGTATGCCATGAATTTCCAACGTAAATTATAAGAACTGGATCTCCCCTTTTTCATTATTCCCAGTTTTAAGTGAGATTCTACACTACCTTGAGGATCTTAAAAAGGAATTGCCAGAAACGTGTATCTTCAGCAAAGAGAAAATCTACAAAAATGATTAGTTCTCAAGAAAGAGAACTAGTGTGACTCATGATGACTCCGTGTTTTTTGTAGCAACGATGCAGAGCTGGCTTCCTTTGTCTTCTTCTATCATGAGTAACAACTAGGGATTGCCCAAGGGAGTGGTAATATAATACAGAGAGTGTATTGTGTGATGATCCCCACTTTTGCCCTGCTGCAAATGTTACAGCAGCGATTCATAGGAATGCAAATTTCATTTAGCAGGAATATCTTTAAGAGTATTAGTAGTAATTTAGTAGTAACATAATAGCAACTTAGTAGTAGTAATGCTATGCCTTTCATTCTTTTCCATCCTTAGGGGGTTAGCTGATCATTTTTAATGCAAAATATGAAAAATTAAACATTCCAATGCAGCAGCTAAGACCTTCGTAGATCCACCTCAAACAAGTCCTTTCTAAAAGGGTAGATCTTGACATCTTTCTTTATGGTGCAACGAGTGGGAAGTTCCTGAGGAAGTGCTTTCCATTTCTGGAGAATGATGGAGAACAGCCTGCTTTGATATCTGGCACCTTCATCTGAATGTCCTAAAAGGAGGCAGGTGTTCAAAAGCCCTCTAAGTATGAATCACCCCATCAAAGCTGTAATGGTCTGTGGGAATGACCTTGGGAGACTGAGCCCAGAGACGCTGCCTAGGGAGCAGTCAGATAAAAGACAGCATAGTCCACAGCTGGATAGTGGGGAGGGCAAGAGGTTCAGAAGAGAACCTCCCGAATTTCTCGGGGTGTAAAGGAAATGGGAGAATTGCACTTTCAGACTTGCAAGATTCTGTTAATAAATAAAGTAGAATTAGCTCATCTGGTAGTGTTTTCTGTCTGGTCTATCTCGGAAGACTGACAAGGCAGATGACAATGCCAAGGGGCACGATGCTGTTGCTTACCAGACTGGAGCTAATGTACTGCTTTATTCAACCACTTCTCAGGTCCTTGTGGTCTTCTTCACCTACATTGTAAGAGACATCGTCGGAGACAAGATGACAGTTGTCTCAAAGTGTAGTGGTCAGTTGAGGTGGACCAATCCCACCCTGCTTGCTTCATCAGATGGATTGAGGTGCTTTCAGCATTTTGCTTGAAGAGCCAAGGATGGTGTCATCTCCAACTTTCAAAGAAAAGCCATGAGGTGGATCACACCTGCTTTGCACAGGTGTTACACGAAGAAGCTCCAGTGTTCTATCCCTTGGTAGACTCTCCCATTCTTCATTATCTTTGGTGAGAAAGATAGCTATCTCTCCAGGCTCTAGAGAACAATCCTGGGTTTCAATTGCCTTACAGAGATTCAGGACTCCACAGTCCAGGAAACCTGAAATATCACTGTTTATGATAACATCTATTTCCATTCTCAGAAACATACAAGGATGGATGGATGGGATGTGAGGAAAAGCAAAAGTTGGTGGAAAAAGCAGGCAACAAATGGGCACACATGATGGCTTCCTTGGGACTACCTGATCTGGGTTGCAAAACTCTGAACTACCACCATTAGATGTTTTCCCGCCCATATTTTTGGTGGTCACCTAATGATCATGCAGAGCTTTGCAGCCCAGCTTTCTCCCAGGGAGTTTTTTGTCCAAAGCCATCACACGATCCATGGCAATGCTTCTCTGCTGGCTAAGGAATGGTGGGAACTGAAGCTCAAGACATTTGGGGCCACTAGATTGAAGCAAGATTGGTATGAAATAATGCTAGGGCCTGGCTATTAGACAGAGAGAGAGAGAGAAGCAGCTTTAATTGCCAGTGTCTCCTAAAACTTTATCCTAAAAGATGACAGCTAAAATCTTTCATAATATTATTCTACAGTGTATTCTTGGAATACCAGTTCTACCAGGGCTAAGATCTCCACCCCATCCAATCAGATATGCTGGATCCCTGTTTGGATTGACAAGGAGAAATGCTGAATTAGATAATCTAGGAGCCCTTGTTTGGGATTCTGACCCCCTTTGATGTGCCCTCAAAGCCGTGAGTGACAAATGTCATCATGCCCAAGGGTAGTAATTATATTTATGTCATCATTTAGGGTTTAACAAGGGATGTTCTACATCTGCAGCTGCTGGGTCTCCAACTGACCTGGTGCAACATGCCAATAAATGGGATGAGCTGGGGACAACTTTGTATCAAGGACAATAAACCAGATCACAAGGAATGAGGACAGGTTCTTCGTTTATAGCAGTCATAGAACCGGATGGGCCACATTGGCCAATTCTGAGGTTTCCCAACAGATGATGTCCCACTTTCTGTCACCTAGAAGGGTCCCCATTGAGATGATTTTGTTTTTTCATCATTGCAATCTTCTTGTTGGTCATTGCCTTTGAGACAACCCACAACCATCTGGTTGGCAATGCTGTGGAGAAGGTCAATTCCCAGATTACTAAGCCACACTGAGCTTTGTTTAGCAAGCTGTGCAAACCCATGGCTTAGTGAGTGCTACAATCCCAACCTATTGTGGCTAATTAGTAAAGCATAGTTAAGTGATCCACGAACAGAGCATGAACCCAGCCAGTGTGAGAGAAGACCTGTTGATTTCTCGCATTCAAGGGCCAAGAAATATACAAGGAAGTGCTTTAAAATGAGAAAAGAGAAGATCAAAGAGGCCCATCAAAGATGTCCATAACTAAATTGCCACATTGCAGATTTCAAGGCGAACTGTTACATATACATATGTAATCAATCAGGGAAGTCCAAATACTTCTTGGCAGCTAGAAGCTGCTTAATGCATCTTCCCCTTTTGCCAGTCATAACCTGAAAAAGTTTTATGGGCCAGAATTAATGTTTGCCTTCGGGGCAAAAATTCAGAAGATGAACAGTGCAAATACAGTAGCCTTAAGGATCTTAGTTGTCTTGCAGAAATACTTTTAACATTCCACTTATTGGGTGGAATGATGTCAGGGCCACAGACAAAGGGTTCATTCACACACACAACACACAATACACTCCCACACAGGTCAGCAAACTATTTTTAGTTTGCTTGATTCACACAATGTGGGATACTTGTGTATAGTCAGTTTGGCTGTGGCTTAGCACACTGTATGAACATAACCACTGTGGTTGGTAAACCATGATTTGTGATTTGCATGAGCTCAACCAGTTCTAATTTATTCAAGGTCCATGATTAAACCAACCATGGTTTCTATGGAGTCCTTGGTGCTCTCTGAGCTTGGTTGCTTTCTTATAGATACTTCATTACCTGACTAACAAGGTAACATCATCAGTGCTGGTGAGTGTGGGGTTTGCTCCCTGTTTATATACAGTAGCTTGCCCCACCAGTAGTTTTCCTCCTTGGTAGTTCCTTGATTAGCATATTGTTTTCTGCTTGTTTGCCTGGGGTTAATCCCTGCTTATCTGGATGTTAGTTGCTGAAGGGGATGTGTTCTGATCTTTTGTTGTTGTTGTTGTTTCCTTCTTAGCTTTTTGTTGTCTCTTTTGAATGGTGTGTAAATATGGTTTATTTCTATGTGTCTATTGATGGTTCCATGCTCCAAGTAAACCCATCCTTTGTGTTCTCTCTCCAGAAGACCCCATAATCTATATTCTCACAATGTGTTTAATCTGTTTGCTACATCAAACCATTTCCTGGGTTTGCACAATTCATTGAACCCCAAACGAATCAATGGGCCAGGGTTTATTGTGTGAAAACTGCTCACTTAAAGCACAACTAGAAGTCTCCACTTTATCTTATGGTTCTTCTTGGTCTCCTGCCCCCTCTAGTGATAGACGTCTGAACTGCATCCCTGTCAGCTGGGAAAACAAGGTATGGTATTGCCTTGCTGAAGAGGAAACTGGAAGGAACAGGAGTGAGAGAGACTGGACAGGTGTCCACCAAACACCTGTGCTATTTGGCCTGTCTGGGAGGAACTATTCGTAGACATTCTGACAACCAGCCCAAAGCCCACCCATCCACCAAGCTTGGAGGTTTGCTAAGACAGCCAAAAGTGAGGAGACCCAAATGGATCAGATCACTAAGCTATAAGGTGCATTGTTTGATTTTGACTTTGCATCTTGTGTGAAATGAGCCACTTGCAAAGAGTAGTTTGTTGTGAGACTTGTCTGAGCCTGAGAACAAGAATGGGTATTCAGAAAATAACACAGAACGAGAATAGGTGGACATTCCATTTGTATTTCATGAATGTTTTCCTAGCCTTTCTCTAAATCAAGATAAATTTAGAAAGAGGATAAGAAGCATCAAAGCGCACCTGCTTTAATGTATTTGCTGATAAAAAGCTGAGCTCAAGTACCCACATTTCTAGTTTCCAAGATTGTGCAACCTAACCCATTTTTCCTTGCAATAAAGCTGGCTAACCAGGTTTTGTGAGAACTTAACCTTCTTGGTTACTGCAACCAACTTAATCAATAAACCATAGTTAAGCAGGCCTGGGTACCCAGCTAATGAGTCTTCCATAGATACATCATCTTT